AAAGAGGAAGGCTAAATCCTGATGATGTTATCATCATCAGCAGATGATGATGATGATAATGATGATGATGATGATGATGATGATGAGCATGGTGATCTACGGTATTGCAACAAAAATGTTCGTTATTGAGGTTTTTAATTTCGGTATTTTAATTTTCGGATTTTAATTTCGGTATTGCAACTAGATTCGTTTTGGCAACTCCGAGGGTCGTTTTTGCAACTTCGAAGTTCCCTTTTGTAACACCAACATAGGAAAATTCGTTATTGCAACATTTAACGGCATTCGTAAAACTATTTTGCTTGTTGTCCGCCATTCAACTTTTATTCCAAAAGTTCAAAAGAAGGAAGTTATACAATTTTTTTTTCTAGTTGTCTTTAAGGATGTTATAAAAAGCTAAAAAAAAAACTACAATTTAATTTTTTAAGTTTCTGATACTCTTTGATCTTTGATTGCTGGTTTAACTGTGTTTATGGTTTAAAAGAATTAAACAATGCTAAAGTGTTACATTTGCTGTGGTGACGCTTCCTCCTGTGGAACAACATGTCCACTTTGTAAAAAAGTAATCGACATCAATTGCCATGGAGGTGTGATTGGTGATGGATATGTTATTTGCAAGATATGTGCAGATGCATATTTATTTTTACTTTTTTAAAAAGGCATAAATCGTAATAAAAACTAGTAAGGTTTATAACTATAACTAGTCTAGTTTAATAAGCTTGAAAAAAGTGTGCGATAAAGCACAATATAAAGTAACATAAAAACTGAATTACTAGTTTACTAATCCACTCCTAAGTTGATTACATTGTTCTATCAACATCTCTCTTTCGAACACTTTTTAGTCATGTTATTCAATAACTTATTGTTTACCATTTATACTATTACTATTTTTATACTATTACTATTTTTATACTATTATTATTTATACTAATACTATTTATACTATTTTTTTAAATTTAAATTATTTGTAAAAGTTGTTCTAAATCTTCCACTGATGAAAAAGACGATATTGTTGGAAGATGTTTTTGTTAAGGTTATTGTCTATATACTATTAAGATGAGTTTTTTAAGATATGTTATCAAATCATGTTTCACAAAATGATAGATTGATACATTTAGATCTATTTATAAAAGTTTCTACATACATGATGTATGATACATTGACATACATTTTAAATGTCTAACATTAGTGCATTTAAATAAAAGTTATTAACACTGTATTGATGCACTTTAATATAAAAGAGAAATTTTTTTGGTTTTAGGTTTTCAAAAAATGACAACCGAAAAAATAAATGAAGTTGCTTCATCACAACTTCTTAAGTCAATGTATTGCGGTTCTGTAAGTTTAAATATAAATATTCATATACTTTTATTAAATTAAATTTATCGAAAATGTGTCAGTTACGTGTGATTTTAGTTTTCTAACCAATATATTTATAAGTTGATGCATTCTTTATAAATAATATAAATTTCATATTAAGTCTATAGTTACTGACATGATTTTTTTCAAGCTGGAGGACAAAAAAAAAGTATGCTTGCACTGTTTTATTTATTTGAAGTAGAAGCATTTAAAGTGTGTTTTACACGCTACTTTACTTCAGTATATTCAAATACTGCATATTGATTTAATTAAATCTGTCACCTCTAACTAATAACTATTTTTTTAAATATTATGAATAATATTTTTTATCCATCCAATCATAGAAAGTTTATGTGGTCATTAACTTTCTATGATTGGATGGATAAAAAATATTAGTTGATTTACTGAGTGACGATCAACAACATGATTTGTATATTTCACTTGCTAAATCTTTCAACTCTGTTAAGGTAAGCAGCTAAAAGAATAATTTTATATTGCTGTGTGAACAATTTTTTTTACTTTTAATTTTTTTAAACTCTTCTAAGCACTTTTATTTATCTTTTATACTTTTATCATAGTTTTTTATTATTCAACATATCCTAAAACAATGAATATATTTTCTATGAGCCTAATATAAGGCAACATTTTTTTTTTGGATAGCGATTATGTTTTTAAAGTTCTTGTCCCGGCAATCATTTACCTTTTTGCTAAGGTTGAGCAAATATCAAGAAAAAAAGTATGTTTTCATTTGTAGAACTTTGTACCTCCATTGTATATTGTATTTTTTTATATTAAATGAGAACATTGACAATATAATGGTAATTTCATTCTTTTCTGTTTCTGTAATTGTATAGGTTAGCTAGTATTATATTTTTTTCATTTATTTTAAGGCTGAGGTTTTAATAATGTCATACTTCTGAAAAGTAGTATTTTAATTTGCTTATAATTTGTATCTTTATGTTATACATATATACATACATATATATATATATATATATATATATATATATATATATATATATATATATATATATATATATATATATATATATATATATATATATATATATGTATAGAGTTTTTTTTAAACCTTATACGGTTTTAAGAGAATAAACGGCTTCAAAGGTGGAAAGAAAGTAGTTACCTTATAAAGGATGAAATAAATGCATTTGATAAACATGTATATTTTTCTTTTCCGTAAATTTATTCTATATAAATTTTTTCAAAAACATTTTTTAAAGTGTTAAAGCTATATTGCACTGATAACTAATAGCATTTTGGTAACCAGTGGTACTTATTTATTTTTTATTTTATTTTTGTAATAATCAAAAATGAATATCAATTGTAGCTGGAGACTCAACAAAAAACTTTAACTAATTCAGATGTCTGAGGTTTATAAACTTTTGTTATTTTAATAAAATTTATATACAAAACTTATATACAAAAACCAAGTTTGGTTTTGTAAAGTTATCAATAATGTTTTATAGGAAATCATTATTAAAGACTTAATCTTTACGTTGTTATCAAAGGTTAGTTGTTAGTGCTTATTTATATACATATATTCATTTAAAGTATTATTAAATAAATATTTTCTAATTAGAAAAATTTTATAAGCTAAATAATTTCCAGAATATGAATCTGAGAATTGTATAATTTTTAATTTATTGGAAAATTTGCTTAACAGATTTGTTCAGATTTAAATGAAGACATTGAGTTTTATGTTGAACAAGTTGATAAAGTTTGTTGCACTGCAATTTTTGTGTTTTTGATTTTACTTTTTACATTTTTACCAAGTCAATTTTTCTACAAAAGTTGATTAATCAGTTTGAATAAGTTATGATCTAAAAAAATCAACATGACTTAAGGAAAATATTGAAATTAAAGCTGAGCATGTTGGAATGAATAGTATTAAAATTGTATTTTTTTTTTGTGAGCTCTCAGTAAATTAGAAATGGAAATGTTTGAAACCAGTGAATCACAATATTGATAAAATTTTAGTTTCCTATTAAAAAAAATATAAAATAGATTTTTACTGTTTGACAGTTTATGCCTTAAATCACCTAGAACTAAAATAAATAAAAACCTTTTAAAGTTTCTTTTTTTGTTGTTAAGTAAATTAGGCATTTTTTCTTTCTCTCAAAATTACATCTTAGTTAATATTGATAAAATAAAGAGATATTGACTACTATATATAAATAGTAGTTCTACCAATTACCAAAATTACTTATTCACAAAATCTTATCTTAAATTGTCCTTTTTGTTATCCTGTTATGTTATGTATATGAAGTTTATATATATATATATATATATATATATATATATATATATATATATATATATATATATATATATATATATATATATATATATATATATATATATATATATATATATAAATTGTAATAATAATAATGTATAAATTATGTTAGTGTATTCTACAAATAGAGTGCTCAATGATCTTAAAGAACAGAGCAGTTATATATTGATATTTGTTATTTATTTAAAGTATTATTAAATAAATTTTTCCTAATAAGGAAAAATTGTTATGTTCAATATTTTTCAGAATATGAATATGAGAATTGTATAATTTTTAATTTGTTAATAATTTGCTTTGCAGGTTTGTTCAGATTTAAATAAAGACATTGAGTTTCATGTTGAGCAAGTTGAAAAAGTAAGTTGTTGCACTGAAACCTTTGTTTTGTGTTTTTGATTTTACTTCTTTCATTTTTAATAAGTCAATATTTCTACAAAAGTTGATTAATCAGTTCAGATAAGTTATGATCCAAATAAATTGGGCATTTTTTCTTTTCTCTCAAAATTGCCTCGCAGGCAATATTGAGAGAGATAACAATATTGATAAATATATAAGAATATCAGTACTACCAATTACCAAAATTACTTATTCACAAAATCTTATCTTAAATTTTCCTTTTTATTATCCTGTTACACATTATGTATATGAAGTTTTTATTCAATTTTTTTTAAGTCGTCAAGGATGTTGCTGAGCTAAGCGACGAATTACAAATAAATGTAACAATTATTTCTTCACTCTTTACTTAAAATTTTGGTGTTGTTTTCTTTGAATTGAAATATATTTTTTTCAATTTTAGGAATATATTAGTGATATGACCAAAGTTTATAAAAAGTTTGGAAGAAAATTTGTAATTTTTTTTATGTTTCATAAATTTCATCAACAAAAATTACTATACTAATTTTTTAATTTATTTAATTTTATTTAGACAAAAGAGAATGAAGTTTGCAACAATGCTATTGAAAGGTTTATATCTTGTTTAAACTCAGATTATAACTTTTACTTTCACTTTTGTTACTGTTAATAAGCTTGTAAAAAGAACACTAAAGTTTTACAAACTTTACACTTCTTAATGAAATTTTTAAATTTATAGGAGAGTATAATAAATTACTTATATCTATTATAAAATACTATATATCTATTAAAGTTGAATTACTCTTATCTGCTGTCTTCCACAATAATTTGAGAAACTTGCCATATCAGATTTTATATTGGTTGTCTAATACTTTAGTAACTTTGGTTTTTTCTCTTGTTTTTTTTGTTTGTTTGTTTGTTTGTTTGTTTTTTTTTTTTTTGTTTTTTTTTTTGTAAATATTTTATTTTTGTTTTACCTGTTAGATAATTGTTTTATAGTCAAAATATGATGGATGAAAATGAGGAGACCAAAATGGGAAGTATGTTGACAGGTTTTATGAGAGTTGGCAAACTTTCTGAGGCTGAAAAGGTAAAAGTATTTTTATATATTAAAAGTTATAGAAATATATAATGATAAAAATAATATTAATGATAATAATACTAACAATAATAACAACAATAATAAAATAATAATAAATGACATGACATAATAAATAATAACAATGACAAAATTAGTTCTGAGCTAATATTTAATATCTCATAGTTATTAGTTTCATAGAATTAAAGGTTATCATTATTTTTTAATCGGAACTTTATCAATCTTTCTCAGATTTAAATGCAATTTTTTAGATATTCAATGCAGATTCTGAATGCAATTTTTTTTTTTAGATATTCAAAGAGTGGAAAGTCAAAAAAAAAAATCAAGAAAAGCACCTCAAATGAATATAAAAGCAGAAGTTCACATAGTTCACATAGGTTGCCAGTAAAATGCCCACTTCCGGGATGTAATGACAGCATAATTGATTTACCAAGACATACACGTTCATCTAAGCATGGACTTTCAAAGGAAGAGGCCAAAAAGTTAAGAGGAAAGTTTGATTTGAGAAAAGAAAGGGATAACCTTTCAAGTCAATCTTTCAGAACAACTAAAAAAAACAGATGTCCTATTTGCAATGTTATTACTAAAAGAATACACGATCATTTATATAGGTCTCCTCATTATCTCAAAAACAATCTGTCTAAGTACAGAGAAATGCTTGATAAAAAAGTTCTATATAGCGAAAGTACCAATTTAAAATTAAAATTTCTTTCATACTCTTATAAAACTCAATCAACAGATTTAAGCAAAGGTAATCCTCCGCTCGTAAATATAGAAGAGAGCCCAAGTTCTAACTACTCTTTTTCTCGTATTCCGGACAAAGATGGTGTACTGATTGAACCCTCATTTCAAGATTACCTCGATGTATTTTATTTATATTTAAAGAGTTTATCTGGTGGCAAAAAAGATAGTGTAGCTGCGCATAATGAAATGAAACAAATAATGAGGATGATGCAAGTTGTTTCACCACAAGAACCCTGTTACACTAAGTTTTTTGACCTTCAAAATTTAGCTAAAGTTTGGCAGTCACATGTAGTTAAAAAAGGTTATGAACCTGGTACCCAGCGATCATATTTGCTTTCATTTACTCACTTTATAGAGTTTTTGATTCGATCAAAGCCAACACAACATGTTGATAATGTTTTGCTTGTAAATATTTCTGTATGTTCCTCTATTGATTCAAATGAGGAAAATGATAGTGATTAAGAATATCAAACAAGCAATAAAGATATATTATTATCTTGCACTAAAAAAAACTGGACACCAGAAGAAATTCAAGAAATACAAAATTTATTTATGTTTGCAGACAAAAAGTCAGTTATTTCTCAAGCATTTATATGTGAAGTTACTTACTCAAATGAAGTTTTAAAACATTGAACACCAAAACAAATTTATGACAAAATCAAGCATATGCAGAAATCAAGCGTGGTAAATTATAATGATTACAACCAGAGTATTCGGATGAAGACAATTTTCACCAAAGAGGAAAATAAAACTATTAAACAATTGTTTTCATCTTTAATTTTAAGTAGATCAATTGTGTCAAAGGAAAATGTTATGGCTATAATTAATAACAATCTTGAAGCCAAAAAAAACTTTATCAAAATACTTGGATGATCAATTAGTTGCAAAAGTGCGATACCTTAAATATACATTAAAGTATTGTTCGATACATTAAAGTATTGTTCATTTTTTAATAATAAAAAATCAATATAAAATTTATTAGTCTCTTTTATTTTACTAGTCTTTTTTATTAGATCAAAGTATAAAAAAGGTAAACAACTGAACATGTTACATAATCATTTCAAATATTTAATCTTATAATAATAATTATATAGTTTTAATTTGTGTTTTTATTTAAACAAAAAATTTATAAACAACAAAGTTTGTTATTTATAAATCTTTTTTCTATAGATTGAAGTTGTAACAGTTTTAAGTTTTCTTTCTATAAAAAACTTTTCTGAAAGTTTAGATATTTTTTAGACAGTTTTCTAAAATTAAGTTTATAAAAGATAAAAACTGAATGGCAATATTAGTATAACCTTTTTAACAGGTACGTGTTTAAGTGTTTAGATATTTGATCGGTTCTTTATATGTTTTAATTTTTTTTTGTCAGACACCTTATTGAAAACTTAAAGATGCTTGTGAAAATGTTGGGAAGATTCTTTACAATGTTCAAGTATCAAACATTAGAATGAAATAACTAAATTTTTAGGCAATTTTTTTTATGCTGACTTATTTATTAGGGCGAGGTGGCTGTCCTGGCTTTAGTTTATTAATATGCATTCATTCACACACACACACACACACACACACACACACACACACACACACACACACACACACACACACACACACACACATATATATATATATATCTTATACTGCTGATTTAGGTGAGCAGTGTGACTTCATGCTGAAATAGCCTGCTGCCGGTGCTGTATGTACTGAAGACCCCGACAGCAGGGGGCTTCAGTACATACAGAACCGGCAGCATATATATATATATATATATATATATATATATATATATATATATATATATATATATATATATATATATATATATATATATATATATATATATATATATATATACATATATATATATATATATATATATATATATATATATATATATATATATATATATATATATATATATATATATATATATATATATATATATATATATATATATATATAAATACCTTACTTGTAAATTTGATAAATTTTTTAATTCTATTAATGACTAATTCTTATAGTTTAGAAGCCTAAAAATTGTTTTTTTAGGCTTCTAAACTTTTTTTAGCCCGAATTGTCGTAGTATACTTATTTTTGTTGTAAAAGTACGCATATGGTTTTTCAATTCTAAAAATTCACTAACGTCTCACCTCGGTAATGGAGGTTAATGGAGTTAAAGAAATTAGTAAACCTAATTGTAAATACTATTGATAAATAATCATATCCTATATATTTGTTTTATTTACTCGTTTCGCGAGTGGGCTGATAATTTTAAAATCTTAGCCATGCGATGCAAAACATTGATTCAAAAGAAAATATTATTAAAGTGCAACCGCAGAGAATTTGTTATTATTATGTTATGATAAAATTGAAGTAAATACAGCACTTATAATGCGTTGTAAAATGATTAATAGAAACAAAAAAAAGTTAAAATTTCGTGTTTTAATAGCTATAATAACTAATAAAATAAATAAATAATAAACATCTTTTAAAAATTTGACAGGTGTTTAATTACTAATTGAAACACTAATTGAAAATTATATTTATTTATATAATTTATTAAAATTTATTAAAATTATATTTATTTATATAATTAAATTATATATACTAATTGAAACACTAATTGAAAATTAAACACTAATTGAAAATTATAAGGAATCAATTTTTGAATTTACTCGAAATTAAAAGAAACATATGCTTCAATTTTTTGATACGCAAAGATTGTAAATTCTTTAAAGGAAAAGTTTAAATTACCTTTCTATCATGTTATTACTGAATAACTTTTATGCCGGAAAATTCAGAAAAGTCGAATACAACTAATAGTCATAAGTTGTTACTCAAAGGCAATGCTTTAAAGTGTAATTCCTTTTTATTTTATAGAAATCGAGTAAATTTATTATACAACAAGCGTCGAAACCATAAATTAAAACTTTTTAGAGCTGGATACTTTTTAATTGCTTGAGCGTGTAAACAACTTCACACGTTTACAAGCGTACGCGTGTAAAGCCAGGATCTTTGATGTGAATAAGATATTAAAACTTATATATGATTTTGTATATATAGACATAAAAATGTTTTTTTTTAGAAAAAACCAAATAAACTTTTATAATTAAATACAAAAATGTTTTTAACGCTTTTGTATTTAATTATTAAAGTTTATTTGGTTATTTTAGTTTTTAGGATAAAATGCACAACATCATACGACTTTTTAAAATGACACTTCTTACGGTCAAAGCAGTGGTTTTTAATCACAAGTGAAAAATACATTTCAAAAACAAATAAATGTTTAATTTTGTCCTAAAGTTTACTTAAAAACATATAAAACCTTTTTGAAACTATTTGTTAGTAATTTAACACTAAATTATTCTGTAATGCAACGACTACCATGTTCTGTAACGCCACAATAGCTACTTTAATGGTTCTTTTCACAACAAAAAAATATGTTTATTTGAAAAATTATATTATTTTAATGCATATCAGTTGCTAAAGATTGAAACACCTAATACAAAAAATTAAAAATCTTTTAAGAAATTTTCTCGAAAATGCACTGAATATGACCCTTTTAAACTCTCTTTTCACTATAAACTAATGCTCACAGTTTACTCAGGTAATACAGTTATACCTTAAAAAAATTTTTTAAAAATAAAACTGTGATAATTATTAAATACCCAAATATAAGAAAGGTGATTTTCTTTATTTTTAGAGTGATGTAGTCATAAACTTATTCAAAATCATAAAGAACAAAGACTTTTTACGTCACCTTTTGTCTACCTGGAGTACTGATGATTTCAATAAAGCAACTTTTTTTAAACTTTAGCTAGTATCAAGATGGAATAACTTTTCAAACAATGTTTTTATTACATGGCTTAAGAATTAGAAACTAATACTTTCTTTTAGAAAGCAATTTGCCTAAAATATCTGTTTTTAAACCTTAGAACCACGTCATCAAGATCCGCAGCATAAAGGTTACATTAGCAAACCAGAAATCACCATAATGATGTTGATGATGATGATGGCGACGATCATGTTGATCATAATGATGTTTATAAACGCATATACACAAAATCAAACATAAATTTTGAAGAAAAAAGATGCACTTTAGGATGTATAAATGTTTATCCAACCCCAGTCACAAACCCGGCCTCAGCCCAGGCTATATTTAATCAAACCCGGCCTTGGTCAAATATCAACCCAGGTCATTTACTATAATACTTTTTGTAATAATGCTTTTTTGATGCGCAAGGAAAAAAACTGGGTTAATAAAAGTTTTTATAGCATGAAGGGGCAGATACAGTAAAAAGATACAAGTTGTTGAATTTGAAACAAGAATGAGATTTGATTTATTGCAATAGAGATGATAGCTGGCATGAGTATTGACCATTATAGTACTTGTAAAAAAAAGAAAGAAATGTAACCTTACAACAATGTGAGAGTGGTTCAAGCTTGGCAGATAAAGCGGGTCTAACTACATTTACAATGTGCTTTATCTGAGAGTAAGAGGGTTGTTATACGTCAATATAGAAATGTTAACAATATTTTATATTTTATTGCAGTAAATAAATGAGTTTTGTTACCTTAAAAAATTTTTTTGAGTTTTAAGTCCAGAATTTAAATCCACAAGCCACTGCAAGTCTTAGGCTGATACTGAAGAGAGATCAGACTAAAAACGGGTTGCTTGTTCTAAGCAATCAAAAAAGGAAGGTTTTTTGTCAAGACAAGAGTACAAAGTTGAGTCATCAGTAAATAGAGGCTCTTTACATGTAAAATTTTCATGAAGATTGTTATTGTAGATAAGAAACATTACAGGAGCAAAGAACTTTGTGGTACCCTTAAACTTACTTAAAATGAATAGGCATTCAAGAATAACTTTAATACTGCAGTAAGAAAGAAATAATTTAATAATCTCAAAAACTTTATATAAAGAAACTAATAACAGAGTCAAGACTAATCGTAGGATAGTTGAAGAGGTCAAAGTGTTTTCTAGACTTTTAAAAAATTGAAACCACTTATTTAGTACTTTTTAAAAGTTTAGCAAAAATTGAAGAGAATTCTGGAGAACACTATTTTGAGACTATGATGGAAATCTTGTCTGGAGCACAAACTGTAGAAGTGTTTAAGTCAGAATTACGTTTAGCATTAGAAACCATAGTGATTTTGATTTTTCAAAATGGGTTAATCTGTTTAATTGGCAAGAAGAGTGCCATTAGATTCAAGAGTTAAATTAGAGTAATATTTCTTTGCAAAGAACTTATTATGGAGAGAAGTAAAAAGATCAGACCCATGAATTAGAGACGTTCTTGTAAAAAAGATGAAAAAAAAAAAATTACTATTTAATAAAACAACTGCTCAAGATGGTGAAAAATGCAGAGTAGAAAGAGGCTTGACTTCATATTGAAGAGAAGAAATAAAACTTCCAAAATGCACTTTACACATACATATTATGGGTGTAAACATATATGTTTGCTAATTATTTAGATGTTGGCAAACAATATCCTATCATATTTATATAAACTTTAGTATATATATGGTGTAGTATTTGCCGAAAGAGAAGATGATTAGATGGATGTGTGGTGTGACTCTAACATGACAAAAAAAGGCATAGTCTTAGACAGATTAGAAAAAAATGTTTTATCGGACAATGTTTGTTAGAGAAGATTAAAGTGATTTAGGTATCAGCAAGTAGAGAGGTAGCAGCTTCAAGAGAAAATGGTAGCGGTGGAAGTAAGAAAACTTGAAAAGAATATTTTATATATTAAATGAGTGAGGTTTAGTTAAGGAAAGAAAATGCTCTAGATTGTTTATTTTAGAGAAACAGCATAAAAAAGGAAGGTTATAGATGATAATGATGATGATAATCATACTCATCATAACGATGTTCATATATACAAAA